AAGATCAGTAGCTTAAAAAAGTTTCTCAGATTCATTGTTGTGTCTATACTATACACATGGCCTTTTGTGGGGAGAGGGGTAGGAGATGGATACTTGCAGGAAGTGTGGGGCCTGGAGGTACCAAGGACAGAGTTTCTAGGGAAGAGATTTAGTCTGGAGAGGCTGGGGTAAGATTGTATGGTATAATCATTTGAGGTTTCCAAAACAAAAACAAACAAAAATACATTTAACACAACCATGAAGAAGAAGAAAGAAGAGGTTCGCTCAGAGAATCCTGAATTTTCTCATCAACCAAGACAGAGTGAAAAGTCACTTAACAAAAGAAACACAAGAGGAGATGATTTGCCAACTCCAGGGAGACACTGCATGAGCCTAAGTTGCAGTGCTCACACTAGAGGATTTTGACAGCACTCAGAGGCTGCTAGAACTTCCCATCACTTTCCCAGAGCCGGGGAAAGACATCTGCCTTCTGTAACCTGGAAACTGGTTAGTGGCTCCTCAACACGGCGCTGCCCATGTTGCTGAGAAGATGCCCCCTCTGTCCCTGTGTCTTGGGGTCCCTTGGGAGTCCCGTCCCTTCTAAACTTAGGCAACCATCTTTTATGCTTGGAACTGGTACTTAATTTGCTGCATTAGCTCTGTTGTGCAGTCTTTTGAAAATTTTAATTTATTTTTAAAACAACTCAGAAAAATATTTTTAAAAACCAAATGTGAGATTACCTATAATCCTTTTACTATAAAAACAATTTCAATTTTCTATTTTCTCTTCTGAACTATATGTATATATATTTTCCAGAGGTAGAATAATAGAATATAACCATTCTGTATAAATATAAAAACAATTTGATATTATTTTCTAAAATATTAATAATAAAATATTTTCTAATGGGTCAGATTTATCCTATGAGCTGTCAGATACTGTCCTCTGCTCTACACAGCTTTATTGCTACTGCCGGTGTCCCTTTGGTGTTATTTTTTTTCATGATGAGTCAGCTAGTTCTTTTAAAAGTGACATGATGCATGACTTATAAATTTGCAGTCACTGACCACTGGGATAGGCATGGCAGCCAATTCAGCAGGAGTCTAGTCTGATTCTCAGTCTAGTGGCCCTGCTCCTGGACCATGGTGACACCCTATCTTAACATCTGGGCCTCTCCTTTTCAAAGCATGCAAAATAGATAAAACCCCATAGTCAATCTACCTACCTACTCTGCATCCTAACAGAGAATCAGTAGCATAAGTGAAGAATGGAATTTGTAATTTTTAAAAAAATGTCTGGAAGGTTTTTCCATGATAGTGTTTCTAAAGCATAATAGAGTTGGAATATATAAACCAACCATGCTGAGGTCATATTTTTTTTCTGTTTCAGAAAGAGTGTATAATGGTCTAAGGATTGCAACACACGGTAGAGACCAGACACAGTCCATTAATATAAAATTCGTGACAGCATACTGTTGCTCATCTTTATAGCCTCAAAGCATATTGGTTGCTGTTCGCAGTTTAAATATTGTCACCTGTAGAAACATCTACAACATACTGGGAAAAGGGTTCATAGCTTTGAAGTAAAAAGGATGAGTTGAAGATGGAAGATGACTTAAAACTGTCTTGCCTAATTTATCTGTTTCTTTGCAATGCATAGAACGAAAGGGGGTGTGCTGCTTGACAAGCAATTCACCTGTTTGGGCCTCAGTTTCCTCTGTTATGAAAATTGAAGCTTGATTTGATTACATTAATAAGACTATCAGAAATAATTTGAGACAGGTAAATATAGGACCCACAAAAATAGAAGGAATGCAATGAGGTGGAAACAAAGCTTGGGGTTTTGAGTCAGAAAGCCTGGTTCAAATCCTTGCTTTGCCTCTTACCACCTGGGTGACTTTGGAGAAGATTCTAGATCTATGGCATCATCTGTAATGCTGAAATTATGGCACCCACCTCACAGTGAGGTTGTGAAGATTAAATGATATAATAAATGTTATATCAAAAGTTATGGGAGAATTGCTCAATAAATGTTAACTCTTATTATTACCCCAAGGAATTGCACAGAACTATATTTGTTGGCAACTGGCAATTAACTTAGAGAAAAAACAAAGCATTCTAACTCAGACGTAAATGTGATTCTTTCCCCCTAATATCCATGGTCAGATCTTTTCAGTGCTGAAGCCAGAAATAGGCTCTCGGTTCAAGATCATTGCCACAAAGCTGTGGGTGGCTATATTAGATTGACTGACTGAGCAATTAGCTTTTTAATTCCAGTCACTGTAGAAGCTGAAATATTTTTCCTCTCTTTGTTGAACTTGAACATGTAATCCAACATGTTTCAAACCCTTGATCATAATTTTAAATTTTCCATATTTTAATGTGCACATTTCAGGCCATATAAACAATGTCTCTTTTTAAGAGCTCCTCTTGGCTAGCATGACATGTGCTCACTTTCCTCATGTAAAATTTCCTCCACAAGGTGAAATATGTTGGATTAGAAATGAGTCTCTCTCTTTTAAACTTTCTCTAGGTCTCCAGCCAAGAAGTCTATGGTCCCCTTTGCATAGTGAGGGGGCATGGATGTTGTTCCTTGACGTTGTTCCCATTGTTTTCTTTCTGGGCTAGAATTGCACAAATGTCCAGTTAATTTTAGAATGAGTGTGGCTCAGAACTAAGTAAGGGTACAGAAGGAACCAATAGACCTCATGTGTCCTTTAACATTTGATGATACGGAATGAGAGGAAGAGAGAAGGGAATTAATAGAATGAATGTAGTATTTGAGGTACTTTGCATGATATATCTTTTTGAATCTTCAAAGTAACCCTGAGATGGATCCTCTTCTTAATTAGGTGGAAAGAAAAGAGGGGCTAAGTCAGTTGCTCATGCTCACACAGCTAAAAAGAAGTGGCTGTGATAACAACCCAGTTGTAACTACTGAATCTAAACCTGAGTGTGTCTGAGTCTTTGAACTATGTTGCCCTGAAATGGAGTTATGATTCACATCACTACATCACTACAGGGTTGGGAATGTTTACTGATTGTTAATACATTTTTTAGGACTGCAAAGGAATTAAAGGGATAGGAATTCCTATCATTTGTGGTTCCTAAGTGATCTATTATATAAAAAGTGTGGCATGGTGCCTTGGTAAATGAGTGTCCTGCCAGTGAATAAATTTGTGGACTTATTTTTCATTTTTTTTTTTTTTTGGTGAAGACTGATTGCCAGATTCTTCAAAATATAACAATACTAAATCTCCTTGAAACAGATCTTGTCCTGAGAAAAATCACCTGAGAGGTATCACTTGTTTAAAAAAGTGTAGGGAGAGGCCGGGCGCTGTGGCTCACACCTGTAATCCTAGCTCTTGGGAGGCCGAGGCGGGCGGATTGCTCAAGGTCAGGAGTTCAAAACCAGCCTGAGCAAGAGCGAGACCCCGTCTCTACTATAAATAGAAAGAAATTAATTGGCCAACTGATATATATATAAAATTAGCCGGGCATGGTGGCGCATGCCTGTAGTCCCAGCTACCCGGGAGGCTGAGGCAGAAGGATCACTCCAGCCCAGGAGTTTGAGGTTGCTGTGAGCTAGGCTGACGCCACGGCACTCACTCTAGCCTGGGCAACAAAGCGAGACTCTGTCTCAAAAAAAAAAAAAAAAAAAAAAAAAAAAGTGTAGGGAGAGTATGTCTTGTTGTCCTGGTGTTTTGAGAGCTTTAAGCACCTTGAATGGGGAGTGGTCCTCTGTGAGACAGAGGAAGGGTGTAAAGTGGCAGACACTGGGACCGATCCTGGCCCTGCTCTTCTGAGGACAGTCAATGCTCTGAGAATGACAGCACTATGTAGGGCCTCAGAGAGCTGGTAACATTTGGAGTGCAGGCAGTGACACTGGTAAACTAATTTTCCAAAACAAAACAAATACATTTTTTTTCTTTTCTCACATGGCCAACCTAAAGCTACTAACATGACATAAATTGGTGGGGAGAGACATGTACATGTTAGATCTGGCCCAGGACCAACAGGCTCCAGCACACTCCTGGGTGGGCATCTATCAAGGTGTGAAGGACTCTGAGCCGAATGTTGCATTAGGGGATGAGAGAGCTCCCAGCTTCCCTGTTAGACCCCAGATCTGATTTTCAAAACCAAGCTAAGCTAGTGTAGCCAGTATTCACCTCTGCTATAGAGACATGCTTGTCGGTCTCTGCATCTCTGAGAACCAGAAGCAGCACCACTTCAGCACCCTGGGGAGAGCCCCCTGCAGCCTCAATTTTAACTACCTCTGCACCATGGGAAGACTGACTGAATCTGTCCCATTCCGTCTTACTGGGAGGGCCTTAGTACTGGAAGTGAGAGCACTTTTTGGGATGGTCTCTGCCCTATTTGACTGGAAATCCCCTTGCTGAACTTAATACTGGAATGGGCCACCAGTTCTGAAAACCCACTGCCACTGAGGTTGATAGCTGGGCTGGGCACTTAATCCAGATTTAGCATTTCTCAAAAGCACCCTGAAGCTAGATTCTATTGGGAGCTGGAGCAATGAGACAGGAGGAGCCCAACTGGACTGCTACCCCTAAAACATGCTCAGGGATTTCTGGGTGCATCGTGGAGAAGGTGGGGCACGCTGCTAAGGGGAAAGATGGACTTCTCTTCCCAAGGATTAAAAGATGCCCAGCAAAGAGAAATGTATTTGTCCCTGTTGCTACAATCTGTTGTAGGAAGTTGGCAATCCATCAAAAGATACCTAACCACTGAAAGTAAATGAAAACAGTTCACCTAACACCCACGAAAATTGTGAATTTCCTCCCATATACAAAATAATGAAAAATAAAGGCAAAGATGCATATTTTCTTATTTTTGAACTTTTAAAGATTTTTTTCAGTTTGATCTCTGAATCAAAACAAAGAAAAATAGGGTTATAAAAGCTATTTCCTTTTCTTTTCCCACCAATGCTCCTTTATCTTGCTCTTCCCCACTTCAGGGTGTTATCCCAAATCACCGAGAGAAGAAGAATTAATAACACCGAATGGGTGGTGAAACGTGTTAGAAAATGTGGCTTCACGAAGAGAAATACTTCCAGGGAAGTCAGAGAGGGCGTTGCTGGACGTCTTGAGCAAATCTTGAAAGAGATTAGAAAGCAAAAGTTGTTGTTGGGTGGCGTTCTGAAGAAAAAGGCTCACACAACTACTACCAACTTCTTGTGGATCTCCATTCTTTTGACCACAGCGCTGAATTCCTCAAAGGATATTTTCCCGTCGCCATCCGTGTCCAGAATGATGATGGTTTTGTCGACGAGCTGCTGTAGCTCCCAGTCCCTCACGTTGTTCCCCACCATCATCTTCAGCACCTGGAACAGCTCCCCGTTGGAGATGTAGCCATCTTTATCGATGTCGTAGATGCTGAACGCAAACCTCAGCTTCTGCTCCTCGTCTCCTTTGACGCTGAACTGCGAGGTCCCGCGGATGAATTCCCGGAAGTCCACCTCTCCGTTGCCGTCGGTGTCGAAGATGTCGATCACCCGGCGCACCAGCGGGTTCTGCTGCAGCTCGGGCATGGACATGAACTCTTCCACGCTCAGCGAGCCCGATTTGTCCAGGTCCAGCTTCTTGAAGCTCTTGCCCAGCTTTTTAATCTCCTCAGTGTCAAAGTGGGAGCACATTTCCTGCGGGTAGCTGGCCTCGTTTCCCATCGTGGGCCCCGGACAACGGCTGGCAGGTGGGAGAGGCGAGCAGGGGCGTCTGCGGAGGGGCTCGCGCGGGGACGGTTGCGCCCGTGGGCGGTGGGTGCGCGGGTGGGACAGTGGGCAGGGGAACGCAGGCGGGCGGGCTGTTAGGAAGGAGAGAGAGGGGGGGAGGAGGGAAGGGAGAGGGGAGAGGAGGGGGAGGGAGGGAAGGAGAGAGGAGGAGGAGGGAGGGAAGGAGAGAGGAGGGGAGGAGGAAGGGGAGAGGAGGGGAGGGAGGGAGGGAAGGGAGAGGGAAGGGGAGAGAGGGAAGGGAGAGGGGAGGGAAAGAGGGAGGAAAGGGAGAGGGGATGGGAGGGGAAGGAGGGAAGGGTAGCTAGCCAGAGCGTGCCCAGGAGAGGCAGAGGCGAAGAGCTGGGCTACCTAACCCTACTCTCTCCCTTCTCTCAATCCCCTTGTAGCTTTCCATTATAACCCGTTTCCCTCGCAATTATTTTATTTTCTCATTTCCTCACTTTTTTCTCTTGAGAAAGTAAACCCCAAGGGGACAGGGGACACACCTGTGTTATTCACTGCAGTATCCAGGGAGCACAGTGCCTGACGTACAGGATGAGGCTAATAAATGTATGTCAAATGACTGATCTGCAACCAAAGACTCCTTATGCTTGATGTACAGGCCCAGTGTAAGGACTAAACAAGATGACAGTCAAAGCATTGAAATTATATGTATTTCCTGTAATTCTCTGGGACTAACATCCTTTTGTAACATTTCCAGGACATGGGGTTCAGAGTCTTGGTAAGAGACCACCCAGATATCACACAGACTTTCTTACCTGGATCACCTACAGGCACTAATGTATTCCTGAATTCGGAACATTTTTTAAGAGGACACAGGTCCTAGGTACATAGTCTCTATTACTCTATGACTTCAAATCCATCATCTCATGCCCAATCCTCATCTTTGTAGTTTGGTGCCTGGCAGCTGTCCTGCAGAACAGAGAATGGCTGCAAGGTGCTCTCAGAGAACTCTATTCTCTGGGCACACCAAGGAGTAGATTGAAGTCTCTGGGATTGCATTATTGGCTTAATCTTATGTCTTTGACTACAGTGTAGTACAGATTCTTGGCTGCAAGTAAGAGAACCCACCTCTAAGAAGCTTAGCAAAAAAGAGAATTTGTTGGAAGAATCTCACATAATCAAAAGAAGTGCTGAACAACTCAGTCTTAGGAAGGGTAAGGATCACATAGGGCTTAAGGAACAATTGGAACCAAGGCCTCAGGACCAGTTACATAATTTTCAGGGCCCAATGTAAAATGAAAATGCAGGGCCCTTAGTTTGAAAATCATTAAGAATTTCAAGATGGTCACAGCAGAGCATTAAACCAGGTATTGGACCCTGTGTGACTGCATGGTATATACCCAAGAAGCTGGCCCTGCAAGGACTTGGGCATATTGACCTCTCTGCATCTCTCACCTTGCTTCTCTTTCCTTCATTCTCTCCTGTGATAAAGCAATTCTTTTGTATGGCAGAGAACACAACCACTAATAGATTCCAAGTTGAGACTATGGGGGTTTTATCATCAGAAAAGATTAACTTTCCCCTATTCTAGTTATATGTCTACAAATCCCAAGTACAGGCCCTGATTGTTCTCACTTGGGTTGAGTTCCTACCCCTAAGCCATTGGACATGGCCTATAACATGTGTGAGCTTCTATTTGAACCTCATGGCTGAAGCTGGGGTTGGGAGGGGGTGGTAGGTAGGAAGAGCAGGTACCAAAAGAAGCACTTGCTCTTCCTTAATAAGGGTTGATGCTGAGCAGACAGAAGAATAGATGGACATTAGATATGTCCATTTAGGTCTGACTCCATAGGAGGGAGGAAGCATTTAGTCTGATGAGATCCCCTCAATTTTGTCAACTGAACAGGCCACAGAACCTGCTATAGCTACAGGCCTCCACTAGCTCATCCATTTCTGCTAGGTCCGTCTTTTTATTTACTAAAATATCCCTTCACCTCTGTGTAGACAGAATCAGTATCTCACTTGTAAGCACTCTACTGAGTTTTACAAACTGTAGGTTGCTACATATTAGTAGCTAGTGAAGTTAGTTTGGTGGATTAAAAGCAACATAAAAAATAGAATAGCAGATCATTGAACAGAAAATATCATTAGCAAGGGAAATTACTATTACTGCATGATGTTATTTTAGTTATATTGGTATATATATAAAACTAAATGAAGTATATGTATAATAAAGGAATACTGGGATGTTCTGGGTTTGCAATATTATGTATTTTCTTGCTATGGATTATGGTAGAAAATAAAAACAATCTGACAGATATCATGGAACTCAGTGTTTGGACATCTCGTGTCCATGCCATGCAAATAATTCAAAGACAAAAACATTTTCATCTTAGTTAGCTCTTTCTGAGATTAGTATGTGAAGATAAAGTAGGTAGACCTTGAAATAATAATCTAAAGCAGTACTGTCCAATAAAAATATTATATTAATTATATATGTAATTTGGCTGGGTGTGGTGGCTCATGCAGGGTGGCTGAGGCAGGAGGGTCGCTTGAGCTCAGGAGTTTGAGACCAGCCTGGGCAAAAGCGAGACCCCCATCCCTAGTAAAAATAAAAAAAATTAGCCAGGCCTGGTGGTGCACACCTGTAGTCCCAGCTATTCAGGAGCTTGAGGCAGGAGGATCGCTTGACCCAGGAATTTGAGTATGCTGTGAGCTAGGCTGATGCCACGGCATTCTAGCTTGGGCAACAGAGTGAGAGACTGTCTCAAAAAAAAAAAAAAAAAACTGTATATGTAATTAAAATTTTTTAGTACCAACATTAAAAAAGCAAAAAGTGAAATTAATTTTAATCATATATTTAATTTAACCAAATATACCCAGTGTTATCATTTCAACATGTAGTAAACATTAGAATTTATTAATGAGTTAATTTTACTTTTTTGTGCTAAGTATATATTTTATATTTACAGCACATCTCAAATAGGACTCAGCATTTTGAGCACTCAATAGCTATATGTTACTATCATACTAGACAACACAGATTTTGACAGTTAAAGGGAGAAAGAAAGGTTTGGAGAGTAAAATACTTAATGATCAAATTATTATCCCAATTGGTTGAATTAATTAGATTTGAAAGAAGCATGATGGGATGAAAAGAATTTAGAATAGGGCAACCAAGCATCCAATCTTAACTGTCCATTTAGTAGCAGTAAGACTTTGGACAAGTTGGTTGATGTTAGTTTTCCCATCTGAAAAACAGGGCTAATAATACACATTTTGGACAATTTTATGAAGACTAATGCTGATGTTAGCCACTATGTTACATCATTATCATTATTCCTGTTACTAATTTTATTATTATTTACACTGCTAGTAGAGATGATGTTTTAAAGAAAGATTACCTCCCCATGCTGGACACTTAAGTGTGTGTATGTCCATTTAACAAACACTCCTTTTGTGTACTCCTTTTGGTATACTGGTGACAGTATGCACACACTGCTCTAAGTACCTTACCAGCACTAACTTTGGCTCCTCCGGTTCACAGATCTTTGAGGACTGATGGCAGACTTCCCATTGCAAGCTTGAGAAAAGTAGCAACTGACATCAGTGGCCCACCAGGTATTTGTGTGGGTTCCTCACTGACCTCCTGAGTAATTCCTTGGTGGTCATTATGTAGAAAGGAGTTACCAGCGTGGAATCTCTTAGTAAGCTGTATTCCTCTATGTGACTGTGTTATTAGGAGGCAGTGAGGGGTAGTAGAGAAAGCACAGGAGTAGAATAGACTTGGTTCCAGTCTCAGCTCTTCCCTTATTACCTATGAGCTCTTAGAGAATCCTCAGTGTCCTCATCTCTAAAATAGTGACAATTCACCTACTGCATGTGGCTATTGTGAAAGTCAGATGAGGGAATGTACATAGAAATGTTACATAATAGGAGAAATCTTGTCACAAGAGTTAATTAATTGAATGATTGAACCGACAATACGAAGAAGATGGTACCATTTTGTTGAAATAATTCAAGTGCACAAGCAGAATCACTTTACTCCTGCATTGTAGAGGATGTAACGTTTCCCTGGATCTGGAGTAAATGGAAAGTTGAGTTCCCATTGTTCTAATTTCATAAACTTTGTAGTTCAGCATTATTGTAGGACTCAATGCCATTGTTTCAATTTTCTCTGGCCATTATTCTTAGTCATTTCCATGGAAAACACTATTTGTTACTTTTCCTGTTTATCACTGCGGATTGATGGGGACTGTAGGACGTTCACTGCAGTAAGTAAATTAAAAGTGTTGACTGATTGTCTTGGAAGGAACTGGGAGCCTGACGGCACTTCTATTTCAGCAAGTCATTTCTTTTTTCCTCAAAGGTTTTCAGATAAAGAACTAGGAGATGGTCGCATCCAAAAAATAACTGACATGGGAAAATAAAACCAACAGAAATGGAACTGATGAAACCTGAGGCTCATATAAAAAAAGCTTCATCTTTGAAGCCAGTCAAGAGACTGGGTTCCTGAACAAGGTCACACAGCCATTCTAGGAGCTGCACAAGTGGTCCCTGACCTTTGGCTGGACGTTCTCACCTTTCTGTAGCGTTGCTGGTCAGCATATTTAACATCTAACTGTATTGATGTTAGCCACAGTATAGACCGTGGACCCACATAGCCCTGAGTTTGACCCGCTTCTGAGCATTAGGGTTCTCCACTGCAATGCAGGAATAATATAATGGTGTTTTATACTTTGACTCAAACTGTACAAAAGTAATTCACATTACTAAAATGTTGTACTTCCATAATATGCTGAAATAAGACAAAATATAATGGTGTTAAGCCTTACTGTAGGTATACATGAGGTAATATCTAAATTGAAAAATGTTTAAAAAGCATCTAAAATAGCACCAGCATACAGTAGGTGCTCAATATGTTTTGTACCCTCCTTTCTTTTCCCTTTCCTACATCTTTGTTTGCTTTCTCTGAGGCAGAAATTGGACTCTGGCTATATGTATTTTATCTTTTTTGGATGTGACAAACTTTAAAGTTTAAATCCATTTTGCAAATATATTAATATATTGAGCCCAT